AGCCACACACTCACAGTTTAAAAAAAAGAAAGAAAATGCCAATTCTACTTAGAAATGTCCTTGATAAGGCAGTAAGTTTTATTTTATTAACACTTTATCCGTAAGCACACACCTTTATAATATTCTGAATAACAAAATAGGAAGTACACATGATAAGCACTTCTGTGGCATCCTGAAATACAATGTTTGCCTGGAGGAAGCATTCTAAGTTGTCCTAAGCTGCCCTTGGTACTTTTCTCATGGAACACCATTTTTACTTGAAGAAACAACTGACGAGCAAAGTATAGTTATGGAGACTTAGGTATTTGGCAGGCAATTTTTCAAAAATAATGAATGAAGTGAATCCGCTACTATAAAAAAAATAACTGACAGTGTGTGTTGCCAATAATGAAGAATGAGCTTTCAAGCAAAAATTAAAATTTTGAAAACTTCTACCCACCAATGTGAATTCCGCAGCTTTTGAATTTCTAAAGACTTTTTGATAAGATAGATGGTAGATAAAAAGTAATGGCAAAACCCGTGATTACTTTTGCACCAAACTATAGTACTAATTAATGTGATTTTTAATATAGTATTGAAATTGGTTGATTTGGAAGAGCAACATAACTCGGGGAACCAATATTTTCTAAATGATTAATGTACGCGATTCTGAAATCACTGTATGGGTTAAAATTTCTTCAAAGTGCAAAACAGATAAATAGATCTTAAAATCAGATAAAAATGTTATTTGATTATGTAATACACTTTAAGAAACTACTATTGGTTGAATTTTGATGAGATATCAAGGAAGAATACTCACAAGTATTTGAAGGGCTATTAAAATACAGCACCCCTTTTCAACCACATATTTGGATGAGGCCATCTTTTCTTCATATCCTTCAGTCAAAACAACTTGGTGAAATTGAATGCAGAAGCAGATATGAGATTGCAGGTGTCTTGTATTAATTTGGAAATTAAAGAGATTTTTAAAAAATGTTAAAAAATGTCAATCTTCTCACTAAAAACAGTTATTTTCCTTAAAAAGTTTGTTAACAAAGGACTTATCATTTTTACTTTTAAATTGATTTATACATAAATATTTAAGTTTCTCAGTTTTAATTTCTAGTACTATAAACATTGTTAAATAAAATCCACATTTACAAAAGTTCTTTAGGATCCTCAATAATTTTTAAGAGTGTAAACAGGTCCTAAAACCAAAGAGCTTGAGATCACTGCTATAGAACTTTATTCAAACAGGAAGCTACAAAGAGAACTAACAATTGAGGAGAAATTAAGAATTTATTGGGGAACAGAGCTGGAGACAAATTATTATTGTGCCCCTGGTGAGAATGTCCCTGGGCATCAAGACCACAGAAGATTTTCTGTAATGGCAGGTGGAGAATTCCTACAGCTAGTGCTTTTGGTGACACTCTTTACAGGTACATCTGGTGTCTTCATTGTGCTGGATCTGCCTCTAACTGATTTGGTCTGGTATCCTGTTGCCTCAGCAAATGATATATTTGTATTGTCACTAATGGAAACAAAAATAGAGAAGGATAGCAAGTCCCTATTCTTGGACAATGGTCACCCCCTACAAATAAAGTTCCCAAAAGACCTGAAAAGAGAGAACATGCTGAGCAACTGTCAGCTGTTTATTATTATCATCATTGTGGACTTTAAGCCCCATATGATCCACTGAAAACCCTGGCCCCTGAGTTCTGGGCTACACCCCAGGTTTGTTGCAAGAGCTTCTTTTGTTTCTCGGCCTAAGCCCAAAACAATGAATATCAAAGAGTTTCATGTCAATGGCCACCTCTAACTCAGTGGGAGTTGTTGCCTGGAGCCCTCTATTGAGGATCAGTGGGAACAAGATGTTCTTGAAGTCTGCCAAGGCCTCACAAAATAAATTTCTTTATTAAGAACACACTAGCACATTGTCAGCACCCCCTAAGCCTAAAACCTGAACTTTTTGATTCATTGCTCCTAATGCAGGCATTTGAGGCCAAACAGCTCTGATAAGATGAGATGTGAAGCATAAAAAAGAAATATGAAATGAAAAGGAAGGAATTAGACTCAAAGGAGAAAGTACCTCACTTTCAATGGCTGGCCTTAACTGCCCATGCTTAGCGTTGGAGAGGTGATGAGAAGGTGGAACTCCCAACCTGGAAATGGAAAAACATACCAGCCACGAAGAAGACCCAAGGATGCTGCCCTTAAAAAATGATACTCTACATAGAAACAAGAGTTTTGAATCTCTTAATTCCTTCTATTCCTGAAAACTTCCCAATCTAATCAAACTACGAGCTGTAATTTGACCAGTTCAGAGTACTCTCATTATGAGGAAACAGAATGCATTTTAGTCACCAGGATTTGTAATCAGGAAAACACAGTATTGTTGGGACAGAATTCCATAATGAGCCTCCTTGGAGTGGTAGCTGAAGCCCCGAGTCTGGGAGTTGGCTGATCCCAAGGCTTGAGAGATGAGGAGAGGAAAAAACAACCTGCTCTGCATAAGACAAGGAAAAATTCTTGTTTTTTTTCATCTTGGGAATAGGAGAATAAGAAAAAAAAAAACTAACTAAAAATGTCAGAAAGAGCCCCTTAAATCTCCACAAATGTCATTAAAAAAAGCAAAAGCTTTGACTGTATTATTTGGGGTCCTTGGACTGGTATAGAACAGAATAGTGTGGGCAGACATAGGAATCAAAGATGGGAGGGCCGAGGGGGAAGCTGCAGCCTGGGGATTCCCAGAAATGGGCAGCAGGGTATGGTAGCATCACCAACATGGGCTTGAGAGTCTGAGACAAGTTCGTCTGGATCCTCAAGAGGCAGGAAGACCTTCCCTGACATTTGAGTTATTCTTCCTGTGCAGCCTCAGAAGTCAGTGGTTTTATAACCCTGCCTCACTATGTTGATTCTCTTAGATGTGGTCACCCTTTAGACTTGGGTCAGTGTATCACTATCCATCTCTTGCTCTTATTAAAACAAGCATCTCCTCCTATCAACCTGACAGTATAATTCTTTATAGAGTTGACAGGGTCACAAAGACTTTGGCCTGGTCATGGCTCTGCCACTGACTCTCTGTGTGCCCATGGGTAGGTCCTTATCTTTTCAGATCTCAGGGTTCTGATTCATAAAATGATGGAGGTGAGAATTAAAAGGCTGAGTTCATCATCTCTTAAGTCCATTCCTAGTTATAATTCTATGAATCTTGCAGTATTAATATTGCATGCATCTCCATTCTTACTTGTACTCACTATTATGAGAAATTACCTTTTACTGTTGATCAGGTTGCTTATACGTAATTTTCTTAGTGGCAATTTCTTTATTAAGAACAAACTAGCTTGCGACATATACTAGTTTTCTTATAATAAGGATATTTTTTGGATAAGAGGAACCAGACATTAGACAGATGGCATTAGCATATATATACATATTACACCTTTCCCCAGTGTTCTCACACCTAGAACACTGGGGAAATGTGTAACAGGAAAACTAGAGAGTTAAAAATATGCATATATATACACACACATATATATATATACACACATATGTATACATATATTTTTAAGGTATACATATGTACATATGTATACATGTATACATATATACGCATACATATGTACATATGAGAATTAAAATATATACATATATACATATGTATATATATGTATATATTTTTATCTAGTTTTCCTGTTATGCCTTTCCCCAGTGTTCTGGTTGTTCTCTTACTTGTGTATATCTGCTTCACATGTTAAATGGTTGAGGGTCAGAACAATGTGGTACTCATCTCTGTATCCTCTTAAAGCCTAGAGAGGGACCATGCCTCATACAAAGTGAGCATTTAATAGACACTTATTCAGTTGAATTGAAATTGTGCATTTAATCTAAATTTTTAAATTATTGCTTTGTATTGTGATAGATTTGGTTATGCTGTAGGAATAAAATAATTTCCAAATCTCAGTGATTTAATGCAACGGAGATTTTTTTTTCCTTGCTAAGGCAAAGTTGGCTATAGAATGGGGTCAGAGTAGGGAGAAAACTATTTCTGCTTCATACAGCCACTCAGGGACCCAGAGTGAAGAGAATCCTGTTTCTGACAGCTGTACCATTTGAAACACATGGCGTCTTCAGAGAAAGAGACTGAAAAATTACTTGAGAGTTTTCTTCTGCTCTCTGCATGTATTTCATTGACCAGGACTAATCAGATGGTACTGCCTGACTAGGAAACTGGGTGATGTGGAACTCATATTTTTAGGCAAGAAAAGTGTCCACCCTTCTTGGCCTGGCACATACCTGTAATTTGAGTACTTTGGGAGGTCGAATCAGGTGGATCACTTGAGGTCCAAAGTTCGAGAACAGCCTGGTCAATATGATGAAACTTCATCTCTATTAAAAAAAATCAAAAAATTAGCTGGGTGTGGTGGTGCATGCCTGTAATCCCAGCTACTCGGGAGGCTGAGGCAGGAGAATCACATGAACTCTGGAGGCGGAGGTTGCAGTGAGCCAAGATCACACTACTGCACTCTAGCATGGGCAACAGAGCGAGACTCTGTCTCAAAAGAAAATAAAAGAAAAAATAGAAGTGCCTCCAAAACTGGTAAGCACTAATGTTTACCATATGCTTTATTCAGTAGCTCTAGTACTTTGGAGATAATGCACTTCTTTGAGAATCTGATGATCATTATAATCCCTCTCCTCTATAGAAATTCTCAACATTTTGCATCATTTCAAAACGTTTCATGTACTTTGAACTCTATTCACTGATCCTCTAGAGAACCTTAGACCAAGATTATAAATCCTTCAGCTAAACCCACAGGCATGTTTTACAGCTGGCAACAGATCTACAGATGAAAACACACACACACACACACACACACACACACACACACACACAACTGGTGTTCTATTTAAACTGTATATTAAAAACAGCCTATTTTTTTTAGTTGTCTGTTTTTATCAGACACGCATCATACCAGACATATGACCAATGGATTTTCCTCTGTGTTTGTTTTTATCAGGAAAAATTTGAGGGACTGTTCCGGACTTATGACGACTGTGTGACGTTCCAGCTATTTAAGAGTTTCAGACGTGTCCGCATAAACTTCAGCAATCCTAAATCTGCAGCCCGAGCTAGGATAGAGCTTCATGAAACCCAATTCAGAGGGAAAAAATTAAAACTCTACTTCGCACAGGTAAAGTAATTGTTTGCCAAAGTTATTCTTTTTTGTCCTACATTAATATTTACCATTTTAAAATGTAAACTGAAGCCCTTTCTACTTTCAGATTGGTTGGTAGTCTGTATAATTAATTTACTGAAAAATAGATCCACATCATGATTCCCAGACAGGGGCAGTGTAGTGGCTTGGGAAACAGGCTCTGAGAGCTGGCAACCAGAGCAAGTTACATAACCTCACTGGGCTCCATATTCTCTTCTGTAAAGCGGGGATGATGAAGATCTATTCCTCATACTGCCGTTATGAGGAGTGCATGAATTATTGTGTGTTTAAATGCCTAGTATTTGGTAAATGCACAATATATGCCAGCTAGTAGTTAAAATAAGAATGATCTAATCACAGCTACTCCTAACCTTCCTATCAAGGTTATAATTAAAACTTAAATTATACAACAGCTATAGTGGAATGTATAACTTTTCAATGATTCATATTTATGAGAAAAGGTTACAAATATATGGAAATTAATTTGTTTCATCCAAGAATCAATTCTAGCTGTTCCAAAATGAGATGGGTAATTCTTGGCAATGCTTATGAAGTTAACAGCAATAGAAATCAATACCCATCATGTTCCATTAGTGCCCTCACCTCATCACTAGATACCTTGATGCATTTTTTAAGTGATCTGTAAGTATGCTTTCCACCTTTAGACTCTACAGAGATGGCACAGTGCCAAGAACATAAACATTGGCCCTGCGTCCATGTTCAAATTCCATCACTGCTATTCTAATGTGTGTGATGTGGACAAACCTCAGTTTCCTCATGTTTAAAACCTCACTCTTCCTTAAAAAGTTAAGATCAAATTACCATCTGACCCAGCAATTCCACTCCTAGGTATTTAAAACAGGTGCTCAAACAAACACATGTACACACACATTCGCAACAGCACTATTCTCAATAGAGAAAAGGTGGAAACCACACAAATGTCCAGCAATGGATGAATGGTTGAGCAAGTTATAGTATATCCATATGATGGAATACTATTCATCCATTAAAAAGGACTAAAATACTCATGTATACTACAGTGTGGATGAACCTTGAAAACATACTAAGGGAAAGAAGCCAGACACAATGGTCACATATTCTGTGATTTGACTTATAAGACATACTGAGAACAGGTAAAATCTGTAGAGACAGAAAGTACCATGGTGGTTGCCAGTGACCAGTGGGAGACAGGAATGGTAGTAACTGGTAATGGTAGTACTGGTAGTAATAGGTGCAGGATTTCCTTTAAGGTGATGAAAAGAGGTTAGATCTGGATAGAGGTGGTTGTTGCACATTGGGAATGTACTAAATTGTTCACTTAATGTGGTTAATTTTATGTTATGTGAATTTCACCAAGGAAGGAAGGAGAAAAATAGAGAAGGAGGGAAGGAAGCATTCGGCAGGTGTATAGTGGGGCAGTGGACTGGCAGCTGAATCAGCATTGCCAGGGAACCTATTAAAAATGCAAACCCTCAGGCCCCATCTCAGGCCTCCTGAATCAGAAATGTGGGGATTGGGGGCTCAGTAATCTGTGTTTTAGTAAGGACTGCAGGTGATTCTGATGTGCAGTAAAGGTTGAAATCCACTGTTTTCAGGATTAAATAAGTCAATTGAGCACATGGTATGTGGTAAATGGTAATTATTATGACAGTCTGGTTCATTTGTCACAGGCTGAAACCAAACCCACATTTTAATGTGCCAAAATGACACCTCTGAAACCATGATGAATAAGTGTCTTCATCTCTACTCTATTTGCAAGGTTCAGACTCCAGAGACAGATGGAGACAAACTGCACTTGGCTCCACCCCAGCCTGCCAAACAATTTCTCATATCGCCCCCTTCCTCCCCACCTGTCGGCTGGCAGCCCATCAACGATGCCACACCAGTCCTCAACTATGACCTCCTCTATGCCGTGGCCAAACTAGGACCAGGTAAGCTTTGTGGTCCATTTTAAAATAAACACTTGTCAGCAACCTAGAAAAGCCAAATGGGATTAACAGGCTTGAAATCCGGGGTTCACAGTAACATCTGCATTTCTAATGGATTTATTGCTCTCTGTGGACAATGAGAGGGAATGATGCATGAGGATGCAGCATCAGACTTTGCACCTGTTCAGAAGCAATTTGGGAACCTATACTAAAATGGTGTCAAGTCCGCGCAGCTTCTGGATTGCAATGCAGATATTTTAAGATCCAGCAGCACTACCTAATTCTTGTGGTATTTATCTCTATACCAGGAGGAAATTGTTTCCCCAGAATAGACAAAATGAGCACTGCTAGTTGGAAGGAAGCATCTATGCTGTGCAACCCAGTTTTATTGCTGTCACCGTGTTAGTGCACACTCGGGAACCCCCTGTCACAAGAAAACCTGCCTGCCAAAGTGAAGCCTCCAAGTCCCTAAGAAGTCAGTCATGGCAGCCTCTAACTTTAAAAAAATCTTATGGTCACTTTGTTCTGATGTTGGCATATGGAGCTATGATTCACCATTCTCACTGCAGTGTAGTATTTTAAAATATGAATCTACCACCACACTCTTCTTAGCCATTTTCCTGTTGACGGACATTTAGATTATTTCCAGGTTTTGGCTATAACAATCAAAGTAACAGTTAACCTTCTTGTATATCTTTATACACTTTTCCAAAATTTTCTTTAGGCTTTGTACCTAGAAATAATATTGCCCTCAGTTTCAGCAGATGATGCCACCTTGCACCCCAAAGTATTTTTTCCTGTATTATGTTAGGAGAGGAAATAATAGGAATTGAAGGGGCTGAAGCCAGGTGGCAGCTGAGATTTTTAGCACCATGAATTGAGTGGTAACTAATGGCCATTATGTCTTCTCTATCTGCTGCTGGTTATCATTAAAAATAGAATCTTAATGCCTGACCCTACCCCAAGAGAGTCTAATTTGATGTGGGTAAAGTCCAGGTATCGGTATGTTTTAAAGTCTCCCCAGATGATTCTAATATGCAGATGAGTTTAAGAATCACTGGTAGCTAAATGCCAAGTACCAGGAATAGTAAACATAAGTTCTTACCAGCGTTTCTTAATGTGACAGGAGAACATTCGGCCCAGAATCACCCATCTCAGAAATCTGCAGTTTTAATAATCACATGTGTTGATTCTTGTAAAGGCCAAAATCTGAGAACCCTAGGAATTACGGTAACTAACTGTCCTGGTTTCTCCAGGATTAAGAAGTGTGTTGGCTACAGGACCTTCACTGCTAAAATCAGAAAATTCCCAGGCAAACCAAGAAAAGCTGGTTATTTTACCGGGTACCCAGATTAAGATGATGCCAATCTGATTAATAAGCACTCCTTGCAAGAAAATTGCCAACTCTCGTATGTGTGGCCTGAAAGTTAAATTATAGAAGTTTCAAGAGCAAGCTCAGTGGAGGTTTCTTTGTGATCACCATCACATCACTCAGCTTCTCAGATCCTTTAAAATGGCTGTAAGTTTTACCTTCGAAAAAGCAGTAGGTATGACTAACTAAGATGTGCTGATGAAAGCAGCAATATAATAATAAGGGAGATGTTAGTGAATTATTTCATTGAACATATAGTTCACATCCAGGATCCTGATTTTAGACACTACCCCTTCAAAAAGTCACATGTGTGATATGCCTAAAATTGCACAGTGTGTAAAGTAAATTGAGTCTGCTCACGCGAAGCCTTTTGAAGCCCTTTCTCACAGTCATTCAGGACATTGCGGAAACAAGCGCACCCATCCAAATGGACCAATTTCAGCCAAGGTCCTTGGAGCTGCCAGTTTGACTCCTATGCACAGATATTGACAAGGACACATCTTAACACTCTGTAGAGGTGTTTTGAATGTCAGCAAACAGAGCTCTTTATAGAATCACTAAGGTCTTGGCTGCAGGACCTAGGAGTCTAACCTGCATTTTACAGAACAGGAAATTGAGGCCCAGAAGAGAACAGGGAGCTGATTTGCCAATGAAAGAGCCAGAGCCCCCAATGCTGTGCTCCTCCTACTTCACTATTTCGAAAGGGGACTCAAGCTATGTCAGACTTTCTGACTATCACACCCCAGCGGGGCTCCACTTCACTCTTGTGGAGCTGATTATCCAGTAAAATTCAAATTATTTTTTATCAAGAATGTGAATGAGCATTTATTGTTGTCAGCGTTTACAAAGATTGATGCAGAGAAAGCTAGGGGCAAGTTCCAGACACCCTTACTGGCTGACGGAGCTGAGTCCAGGCTCTGGAAGGCACAGACAGGGACAAATGTGACCTGGGACTAATGGAGGCAGAAGGCACAGATGGGATGGGAATGAGACCCAGAAAGGATGCTCACAGAGCCTGACGCAGAAGAGGGAGAAAGAAAGGGAGGAAGGAAATGGTCTTAAAGAGACAGAGAAAAACAATAAGCAGGGTGTTGGGGGGGACGGCGGTTCCAAGTTGTAAATAACTTATCAACAATGTTAAAAATGCTGACTTTTACCTTAATTGTGCAGCTAATCTATAGCACCCACATTCTTTTGTCACAATAAATGTACCATCTACCGTTTTTGAAGGGCCCTGCTTTGTGATAAGCACAGAGATAGGACCTATTATTATCCCCATTTTATGGATTAGGAAACTAGGCTGTAGAAAGCAGCATGAACTTTTCCAAAGTGACACGGCTGGTTGGTGGCATTGTCAAATTTCAAACCCTGGCTCTCCTGATGCCAGAGAGTAAACTTCACCGCTTTGCCAAGTGGCCTTCTATCAAGGATACTGGTTGGCTTGGCTGACTTCAGGCCTGCTCTGCTCTGACTCTGGCAAACATTTATTCTAGCCCTGAATCAAGAATTATTCTAACAAACACCAACCTAAACTTCCAGAAAGCATAACCTAGTGTCTGGTAAATGTGCAAATGGAGACTTGTGCATTGGGTACAAGAGCAAATATTGAAGGTTTCCTGATACTGTGTCCATGGAACAGCTGTAATCTGGATGTATTTTCTAGGATATCTTTCTCTGTTCCTTGCTAGCAATTTGGGGCTGTCTTTGTTCTCCCCCACTTTCCTATATCCCCGAAGCTTCCTCAGCCACCTACATACATGATTTATGTTCAACAATTGAGTTGAAAATATGAGAGATTAAATTAGAGATTGTTTCAGCTGCAACGATGAGGGAGCAGGGCCACACCCTGCCTCCTCTCCATGGCATCCTCCTCCCCATCGCATCTCTGGGTCTCTGCCCTCTTCTGAACCAAGTGCCAAGGCAAGAGGTTGCTCCTTCAGTCTCCTCCTGTCACTTTGCACAAATGTTCACTTTTCCTTATAATAAGTTTCTGTTGTTCAACTTACTGTCTTCTTCTTGAGGGAAAAAAAAATGCATGTTTCATCCATTTTGATATTCTCAGCACCTGAAAGTACCTGGCACATAGTAGATGCTCAATAAATATTGGAGGATTGAATGTATGAATGAATAAATGAACAGATCAGAGCTATTAGCTTGTCTAGAGATAGTTTCTTTACTGACAAATTGTTGCTTTCTTGCACCTTTAGCCAGACTCATTCAGGAAGCATTAAATTAATGTTTTCTATAATTAGAGGACTTCTAGAATTTTCATTTTAAAAAAGTGATTTGCCAAAATTTATTTTTAATCCTTTGGCTGAATCACTTCAGTAACAAATTATAACTAATTTCATATTAAAGGATGACTACATCAGTTCCAGAAGTACAGAAACAAATTAGAATGAGAGCAGAGAAAAGCAACTCAGATGATCAAAACAATGTAGTTTTGCATCAGAGGAATGATTAACAGTGTTTGTTTAATTGGTAAAGCAGAGTGATTGAGAAGGTATGTAGATATCTAAAGCTGCTGGGGAAAAAAAGTTATTCTAAAGAAAGAACATCATGGAGTAGGGATCCAGAGTGAGGTGGGACTCAGGCTAAGTCAACTGACTGGTTGCCCCCAAAGGCAATGACCCAATTTATTAGAACCCTTTGATGGAGAACAAATGAAATGGTGAGGATCCAGGCCTCATCTCAGACAAGCAAGGGGCAGAACAGTCTCTAGTTCTTTAAAGAGGAATAGTGGTGACCTTCTTTCAGAGAGGAACAAGTCAGATTCCTGAAAACTTCTAGAAAGGTCTGAGAAACAAACGGTAAAAAACAAACAAACAAACAAACAAACAAAAACAAACAAAAAAAAAAACAGTGCAATTATAATGAAACCATGTTCGAACCCAAACCTGTGGGTGTTATTGAAATCTTTTGAAATGCTTTGGAAGATGTTACAACAGGAGACAAGGGCCATATTATATTCAAGAAGTGTCTCTCAGTTCTGTTTATTATACCTAGAGGAAGTTTATATTCTGAAAATTAAGAGAGGCATAATTTTAAACATCCTTAATCATTGTCCCCATGACCACTCTATCTTTGGTCCAGAAAGCAAAATAGATATTATACATTAGAAAATAAATAAAAATAATGACTTAAAATTATGTGGGGATGAAGATAAATTATGTACTATGTGCCAGGCACTGTTCTAAATACCTTACAATATTATTTAATGTTCAAAGACAACAACAGGTATTATTATTGTCCTACATTATACAGCTGGGAATGTGAGGCACAGAGTTGTTAAGTAACTTGTCTAAGGCTGCACAGCTACTAGATTAAAATAAAATATATCCTCTGCCACTAGCAAGAGGAGTAAATGATTGATTGAGCCAGTACCCTTACCCTGGAAAGTGAAATATTTTTCTCTAGAAGAAATTTAAGATTGCTGTAAAAGAGAAATTTAAGGCCGGGCGCGGTGGCTCAAGCCTGTAATCCCAGCACTTTGGGAGGCCGAGGCAGGTGGATCACGAGGTCGAGAGATCGAGACCATCCCGGTCAACATAGTGAAACCCCGTCTCTACTAAAAATACAAAAAATTAGCTGGGCATGGTGGCACATGCCTGTAATATCAGCTACTCGGGAG